AAACATGGCGGTTAAACATGGTGGACTAGCAGTGTCTTTAGATAAAAACAGCATTCTAAGGTAACTAAAACACAACTATTCCTACATTCATTTGATTATGCACTAATGAAAACATACCTATAATATTATTCCAATTCTGCCAATAGATCCTCCTAAATGTTTCACACTGGACCTTTAATTTAGATTAGCTTTTTCAAAACAAATCAAATGCCACTAAACTTGGCAATAAAATACACAGCCAATATAGGTAGCAGAATCTAATTCACATTAAATAACAATCCCTCCTTCCCTTCTCTCCTTATATGTATCTACACAAAACATTCATTCAAAAGCACAGCACAAGAATGAATTCTGGCTTCATGTTTGCTTTGTCTCTGAGATGATGGTTCTGCCAAGGTTCAGATCACTGATATTACTGTCAAAGTCAAGCCTAAAGTAATCAAATACCTCATATCTGTTTCATGTGTTCTGTTATTGTTTTAAGCAAGTCATATGACCACAGACTGGATATGTGATCCAGTCTCATGTTCTTGTCAGACTGTATGTATTAAACACACACATTCAGACATTTGTGCAGGTGAACAAGGCTGCACCTCTGCACTGACAAGCCTTTCTGGGTCATGTCACATCCCCGCTGTCTGTGATACAGTGAAAACACAGGGGATTGTGCTCGTTTTGAGGATAGTCAGCCAATTATTGTCCAGTATCTGGCCATAGTCAGAGCAGCTGAATGAGACATTGTTGCCGTTGGAACAATGGGGGCTGAAATCACTTGCCTCAATGGCCTGTGTTAGGATGAGCATTGTCTTATGGACACACCACATAAACAGACTGTAAAGTGCTCATATACGTTTCACTAAAAACTGTTTATATTTGGCCAACAAGACTTAAACACTTAGTCAGCAAAAAATGACGAATATCTATCAGAAATAATGCCTCTGATATACTGCAGAGGCCATGTTACCAGGGTTTCTTTGGTCCATTATGGCCACTTTCACCTCAGTGTCACTGGACAAATAGCATTTGGCGGTGTTCTTGCAGCAAATAGAAGTGCTGAATTATTTAGTCTCCAGGAAAATATTTAGGAGTGGTCATTTCAGGAGAAGGATAATGTTGCCTAAAATAAACGTATCACAGCATGGTGGTTTATAGCATCTCTGGGTTTATATTACGGCAGGAGGTCACCCCAGTTAAACCCTTAATTATGCAGGTACATTGTTACACTAGAATCCATATGAATTATTTATGTAATTTATATTATTCAGTGTTGGTCTGGACAACTTTGCATTGCCATAAATTTGGTACAGACATTAATGTGATCCTGTGACTTTTTAGCCTCAGCTGTACTTTATGTTTAGCAAAAGTTAGCATGCTAACACACATAATTATACCAGCCAAACATCAGCTTTTTAGCATCATGACCATGTTAGCACGCAGGTTTTCAGAGTGCTGCTAATGTGCACGTTGGCTCACTGTCAAGGCTCTGCTACACTAAATAGACCTGAATGCAACTGAACCTTAATTAGTATCATTGGTGCCTGTATTTACCCTATTTCATGTCAAAATGGCTGCTGTGAAGAATTTTTCCAGGTCTCTCTATTTACAGTGTCAATAAAATTAGTATAATAGTATATAGTACAAAAAATATATATAATTGAGTTCATCCTACTGTTCATGGATACCAGGATGACTCAGACTAGTGTCCATGATCTGATTTATCTGCCAAGATTCACTTACCTTCCACCACAATTAGCAAATTTTACATTTAATCAGATTTAACATGGAAGTCCATAGAAACATTAGCAAAATCACACTTCTTATGACTGGAATGGGTATAAGCTGGTGCATTTATGAACATATAAGGTTGGGGGAACAACTGTTTTTATCAGGTATACTTTTACATTTTGTGCCTTATGGTACATTCATTTAGACCAGTGTTCCTCAAACTTCCTTTAAACTGTTTATCACACGTATTTAACTGAATTTGTTTTCCAAATGTATTCATGTGGCATACTTAAAATGTACTTTATAGGCTACAGCGCAGTGTAACACAAGCAGGCATCCTTGCAGTCTGCAATATATTACATCAGACTAGAGTCGTAAATTCATGCTGTCCAGTAAGAGGTAAATTGAGTTGTTAGAGCTTCCTGAAAGCTTTCCATAGACGCTTTCCTCGCAGGAAATGGGTGACATCAGGCTCGAGGATAGGAAATGGATAGCACAGTGTGACCGTGGGTACAAACTGACAGCAACAAACATATAAGATGAACCTATAGTGTATTTAACAACATGGGTTCTGATTTACTTTTTGATTTCATCCATTTCATAGGTTTTATTATAATTGACTTTGTCTCACATTATGTTAGCTAAACACTGTGCTCTTTCATGATTAGTTCCTTACATGGATTTCTTTTTATTGAGTAGAGATTCCAAATAGTTGAATTATACTTTGATCTATGACGTGTTCCTCCTACAGTAAAAGAAAGCAGTAATCCATTAATCTGTTCCCGGACTTATCTATTCCCATGATGACTTTATTACTGGCAACTAAACTCTTTGTTAAAAACGTCTCTTTCTTTTTCACACGTAGGTTTTCAGTAAAGACGCTGTTAGAGAAGTACACAGCCGAACCCATAGATGATTCATCTGAGGAGTTCATCAATTTTGCAGCCATTCTTGAGCACATCCTCAGCCACCGTTTCAAAGGTAATGAACCTACGAGGAATTTGTCTGGGATCGACTTCATGTTAAATAAACATCAAAGCAAAATGTTTAAATTAGTTAGCGGTAGTTATTGTTTTGGATTTTTAGAAGACAATGCAGGTTTCCATACAAATTTAGTTAATATTAATGATTTAAAACAAGAAATTAAAAGATTTGTCTTTAAATATAAAGCCAAATCTTTTTATTTAAATAAAACAAGTAATCAATACCTAATTGATTACATTAAATTAGGTTTAAACATGTTATTATGTCTTTGCATTAATATTTGTTCAGAATTTCTAAACAAAATATAGTAGTGTTAAAGGCTAACATTGCCCCAGCAAATTCAGATGCATATAACAAATAACAGATCAGTATCCAGTGCATCAGTCTATTTTCAGTGGCAAGGTTGGCATGCTCAAACATAACTGTAACTCCACCCTCTGTTCACTGAAATAAATACACTTAATACATGTTGACAGTAAAGTTCAACATATCAGCACAGAAATGCCTCCAACAATATTCATGTTACTTTCTCTTTCAAGGCTCTGGTAGCTGGTTTGATGGTCAGAGGAGTTACTGGGACTACATCCGTCTGGCCTGTGCTAAAGTCCCCAACAGCTGCATCAGCAGCATCGAGAGCATGGAAAACATCAGCACCTCACGAGCCAAGGCAAGTCCTATATACAGTTAATGATCATAATAGACAACTAAGCAAAAACCCTCACCTATTTTAAATAGATGAAACACCTTTCATTCAGTTATTGTTGTAATTTTGACTTTTATTCTGTTTTTGGTTAAAGTTTGTGCTTGTTGGTTTTTTGACACGTTGGCATGTTTTAGTTTAAGGCCCTCGTCTTATTTGAAACAATTCTCCTAGTTAGCATAAATACTAGTCAGGAGAGGTTGGATTTTATACTGAAGAAGGCAGTTCAACTGAAAAGCTCAGTTGTAATAATCTTAGTGGAGAAACAGCAAATAAACAGGCTATCAATGAAAGAGAAAATGTCTATGAGCATGCTGCGTCATTCTGTATATGAGCATTTCCAGTGTCACAGCAGTGGTAGGTGAAGATTGTTAAAAATGGGGGAACTTGGAAACACAATTTGTGAAATTTTGGGGGGTCTCTAAAATACTGACAATATGCTATTTTTGCCATTTATTTCTATTTTTCTGTATCATCGTGAATGTGTAAAATTAGGCAATTATTGATAATTCATGCATGAGGGTGATTCATCTACTTCACTTTAATTAAGATTCTGCCATTGCTATCCAAGTGTGGTGGCGTATTATCCTCAGCTTCACTCACTTAAACTCAAAGATCAGGAAAAACCACCACTCAGTCTACTTGCCAAATTCCCTAAAAACAAGTAAGCTCCCCTGAAAGCCATGCTATAGTTTATAAGTATTATTTAAGTATTATTTATATATATATGAGACACAAAATACTTTTTTAATTGGACGTTACATTTCCCAACCTCTGGTGACTCCCTCAGGGGCGAGCGTGGATGAGAGTAGCCCTGATGGAAAAGAGGCTGTCTGAATACATCGCCACTGCTTTGAGGGACAGCAGAACAACCAGGTAAGAGGCCCCAAACAACTAACTATGCAGTATCACCATATCCCTACTAGATCCACGTTCCCACCTGGTTGTATTTGTCACTGTGCTTTAGGAGGTTCTATGCAGAAGGAGCCATCGTGTTAAGAGAGGAAGCCACGGTTCTAACGGGGATGCTCATAGGTCTTGGAGCCATAGACTTTAGGTGAGATGGACATTTATAAAGTGACATTTTAGGCAACAAGCTGGTCATTTTAGGTGGGTATTTATAGTTTTTTGTGGTTTCTTTTCCATAGTTTCTGTCTGAAAGGGGAGGCTTTGGATGGGAAGTCTTCTGCTGTGATTGACTACACACCGTACTTAAAATTTACACAAAGGTATGTTAATTAATACTTTAATTAATACTTGGAATGACAGTATTTCTGAAAATGCAATACATTTTTAGACTCTTGTATACTTGAAAAATAAATGGTCATATACAATATAGATTGTTTAATCATGGTATTAGATATTTACCCCAGGAAAATATACCTTACTCCACTTTGTGTATTTTTCTATATACAGTGCAAGATGTTCAGTATTGGTCCGTCTCTATTTTTATCTATGTGAAGATGCTGCAACTACAGAAATTACTCTTTGTTTATAATTATTTATTCACTTTACTTTACTACACTTGTATTGTTGTGCCATATAAGATAGGAGCTGCATTTTTTTGGGAACTTGTACGTCTTTTTCATAGCCGACATTTTGCCTTATCATAGTAGGAAAAGCTCAGGTGTTACTAACTATATAACTGGGTGCTTGAAAATAAATAATTTGGCTGCTTCTGTTGTAGCTACGATTACCTGAGTGATGATGACGATCGACAGAGTGTCGACAGCAGCACAAGTGATGACAGCATCCCTGAACACCCCTACATACCCCTGGTCACTGACGAGGAGAGCTGGAGCACAAAGTGTCGCAAGATGGAGCAAAGGTTCAAGATCGTCAATGCTCAGAAGGTGTGCAGCCATCTTTTTGTTTTTGAACATTCACGATAAGATTGCTTGAAGAAAGGATTCGCCATTTCGGGGAAAAGGTTTATTTGTTTTTCTACTGAAAGTTAGATTAGGAGATCAATAACACTCTTGCATTTGTTCATTCAGTACAAAGCTACAGCCAGCAGCTGGTTAGCTTAGCTTAGCATGAAGAGTGGAAACAGCTAGCCTGGCTCTGTCCAAAGGAAACAAAATCCGAAATGTTTTAATTTATGCAACTTATTTGTTTCTTAGTTGGATTTTTTACGTTTGGATAGAGTAGTGTAGCTTCGTATTGACAATACAAGGGCCGTAATATATGGGGCGGCAGTAGCTCAGGCAACCAGAGGGTTGTCGGTTCAAGTCCCAC